TGTCTGGACCACACATGTGGGTTCTTTGCGGACCACCACTTGTTGCTAGCGATGGCACATGCCAATCTGACTGATCCTCAGGTACAACTGCAAATATATATGTATTTATTACTGCTCAACTGTTGTGATCTACTTGGAATGCCTTGATCCCCTCTTGTTGTCATATATACTGCTGCTGTCAATTTTTAAAACTGCTGCTATGATCTGGAACAAGATAAAGCTATTGTTGTGATCTGCTGCTATGACCCTTTTGTAGACTATGGCTGGCTTATATATATTTACTTGTAATTTTTGGTACTGATGCTGTCATATATATATTGTCATATCTTGTTGTGCAGCTTCATTTTATAGATGATGGCTATATACATGTGCAACTTCATCTCATGACTAGCTTTCTTTGTCTTTGAATTTTAAAGTACAGTCCACTCCAATCAACTTTGCGGACATTAGAGAGAAGCTCGTCTCGTTTATTGTGTCGCAGATCATCGACAAAACATGCGAGTTTCATTGTTCACATACAAAACTATGATGAAGTGCCTGGTATATATGTTTATTTAATCTGTGAACTGTGTTTGGAACCTGTGAGATATAATTGGAGCTGTGAGATATATACATGTGAGAACAACCTGGTGATGAACAATCGATCTGTGAACTGTGTGTGATATGTGTGTACTGTGAACAAATTAAGTTTTGAGATGAACAACTGTGATCTTGTATATATATATGTCATTTCTGGGAGATCTGTGTATATATATATCTGTGATCTGTGTATATCTGTGCTATTTGGACTGTGGTGTGGGCTACAGACACGTCTGTAACATTTTTCTTACTATAGATGCGTCTGTAGCCTAGACCCGTCTGTGATAAAAAAATACTAAAGACGCGTGTAGAGAATATAAGTCTGTAGTATGCTACTTACTATAGACGTGTTTACAAATATCGTTTGTAATAGTATCCTTACTACAGACGCGTGTATTGTACACACGGTGGCACTATATTTCTTCACATAGATGCGTTTACATATATCGTCTGTAGTAAGATTCTTACTACAGATACGTGTATTACACACGTGTCGACACTATATTTCTTCACACAGACGTGTTTACAAACATCGTTTGTAGTATGATTCTTACTACAGACGTGTGTATTGCACACGCGTCGGCACTATGTTTCTTCACATAGACGCGTTTACACATGTCGTCTGTAGTAGGATTATTACTACAGACGCGTATAACAGACACGCGTCTGAGATATAGTTCTTCACACAGACGCGTCTTAATCTTGTCGCGGACGCGTGTTAGCAACACGTGTCTCTAGTAAGAGCTTACTGCAGACACGTGTAGATACTCACCAATCTCTATTAAGGGCTTACCATAAGATGCGTGTTCGTTTTGTCACAGTCACGTATTGGTAACACGCGTCCGTAGTTTGTGCTTATTACAGACGTGTTATGACAGACGCGTCTATGATGTGCCTGAACGCGCGTATCTGACGTGCTTTTTTTACATAGTGCTGTGCATTGACTCCACAAGAATCGTCAGTGTTTTGGGAGACTATAAAAGTTGATTATAGCATTTGGGTTGATTTTAGAAATTGAAATAGTCCCATATCATATGATTAATCATGCAAGTATTTTTCTATGTAGTCAAAACATTGGTTTGATCAGGACATCAAAGAGACTAGCTAGAATAGGGTTTGGAATTTTCTATTCAGATGAAATTCGTTTGGGTTTTTAAATTTGGTCAAAATTTCACAAGGTTTGAAAATTGTGATTGAAATCTTCTCCTGTATTTTTGCGAGGATTTTATAGCTTCAAGTGCGATGCTCAAGCTCCGTTTACACTGGCGTCTTCATGACTACAACAGTCTATTTTATAGTGTCGCCGCTCACAGTACTCTTCTTTCCTGGCCGCTATGAGAAAGACTTTTACAGTGCGTTTGGTTTGCGGGTGGGCTGCGTCCGGAACCATCCGAACCTAAGACCGAACCTACCTGTCTTGTTTGGTTTGCCGGATGCGTTCAACTGGTCCGTCACGAGGACATTCCACGCAGCAGTTCCGCAAAGCCATATACGACGGACGAGTCTATTCCACGGAAAACGACCGGACGAGCTCATGCCAGATCAGATCGGTCTGTGAACCAAACACAATCTTACATGAAAACTTTAGAAAAGTGGTTGAATAGCTATAATTTTGTGAGTTTTCTTTTCTTGCTCTTTCAACAAGGATGAATAGCTCACTGTCTTTTGGAATTTTATCTCAAACGCGATTAATATAAACTTATCTGAAAGCATATAGGTCTCTAACTCGGTTTGTGACGTTTAATACACATTTTTGAAAACTAGCATGGGGTAACTCATATAAAGCCCAATGATCAATCAAACCCAAAGCCAAACTCAAGAGTTGAATTGGAAGGGTTTGAACTTCATGAAGTGGCCAAGGAACCTGCTTTTTGTTCCCTGGATTTCATCGGGAAAGTGTGCTGGCAAAGGAGAGCCAAAGTACATCATGGTGACATGTTCATAGAGGTCAGTGCAAAAGTTGGGTTCAACACTATTGATTCTCATTTTTTCCTTCACTTTCACAAGTTAAAGCTCTCTCCTTGATATCACTACTGATCAAATATCTGAAAAAATTAATGCAAAATAGTAGTATTCCCTTTGTTCCTAATTGTAAGTGGTTTTGACTTTTCTAGATACATTTTCTACGCTCCTAGTTACATATTATGTCTATACACAATAAAAAAATTATGTATCATAGAATGACTTACAATTTAGAATTGAGGGAATACTACTTTAGCCAAATGATTTTTTAGTTGGTTCTACTTGCTTGAAGTTTCGATTGATAATTTGGTCCATCTGGTTTATCTATGTTACGATTCTTACATTCATAGCTGCGTAAAAACAATTAATCTAGGAAGCCAACTATTCAGATGAAATTTCAGCTGGAATGATCATGTTGTTAGTTCAGGATAGCATATGCCTTCACGCGGATGGGCAGATTGATTATAGGATTCTTATGGATGGCTTGATTAGAGGGTAGGTCATGCTCGTCATGATCAGGATCATGCTCGTCATGGCGAGGCAAGATGCGTGTTTTCTTCGCAAGGGATTTTATCAGACCAAGGACATGGAGCACAAGGGCCAGGTGTACTCTGCGTCCCCTTTGCACTCATTGACGGGTAATTTTGGTACCCATATCGGTGTTGATGGACTATTAGAGCAACTCCATTAAAATTAGTAGCCAAATTTCATAGTTTAGTCATTTTGTAAAATAAAAAACTTCTCAAAAAAGTAGATTTCTTCAACAGCCATGCTATTTCTCATCTTCAGATAGCTAATGCCTATGGTTAGCTGTATATGGCCGCCTAAAATTAAGGAATAGCCAGCTTTCTATTTTACAAAACCATATAGCATATCTGTTGGAGCTTACTTTTGGCTATATCAATTCTAAAATAGCCTTCAAAACCAGAATAACCGAGCTATTGGAGTTGCTTACATCCCATATCGATGTTCTTTTATGAAAAAATAGAATATTTTAGCGTACAAAAATATATTGGCACTTGACTTATTCTCTGTATTTATTCTGTGCTGATCCTGGTGTTCTGTTTTTAACCAAGTTGGTACTATTTTTATATTGATTTAAAAATGCTGTACCGGTAAATTTGATGTGAGGCTTTCTCTTTGTAATTTGATGGTACATAACTATTTATCTAAATGCTGGATGTTTGTTAGCTTTCAACATTGACATTTTGGTCATACATACCCATGGTTGCAGCATCCTTGCGATAACCAGATAACTTACTAAATATTTACTCTTATGTTTTCTTCCGTTCATATTTGATATGGGAGACAGTGAGGAGCAATATATATGACTATACGACAGAGAAAGTACAGGGCTTATTATGGTATTCATTCAAAAGTGCTATACAATAAGCATGTGTTTGTTTCAGGGTTGAATGTGATTGAACTAGACCGGACTCATTTGCAAGGGCATATAAGTATGCTACAAATATTTTATATGGATGTTGCAAAAGTGAATCGAGAAGTTGCATATGCTGCAATGGTTGTACACATATATTATAAACTTCTGTTCCCAATGTTTCATCTGTGTTTTTCGGACGTATGTTGCAAATGTGTTTATTTGAATGTTGCAAATATTTCACACGTATGTTGCAAGTGTTTTATCTGAATGTTGCAAACGTTTACAATGGTTTTTCATACGTCTTCGAGTGTTTTTGTAAGTGTTTTAGACGCATGTTTCAAATGTTTCATCTTCTTCGGACATATGTTGCATGTTTCAAAAGTAGGTCGAGCTGTTGCACAAGTTGCAATGGCGTCGGTATTTGGCGGACAGCGACGTGACGTAGGACTTCGGCTCCTACTTCGTATGGCACACATCGCCCTCTCCTCTCCTCTCCCTTCCCTTCCTTCCCTTCCGTCCATCTCGCCTCGACGTTGGCTTTGGAGTGGGAGTCGTCGAGTTTGTTGCGTTCGGACGTAGGGGCTGGCGTGGGATGGGATGCGGGGGGCGAGTGATGGGATGCGATGCGGACGCAAGGACGTGGGATGCGATGTGAGTGCAAGTGTGAGGGACGCGTCCGGACGCTAGCACTTCTGATACAATAAGCATGTGTTTGGTTTATGTGTTTGGTTTTAGGGTTAAACCGGATTGGACTAGATCAGACTCATTTTTCAGGTCGGTGTTCAGCCCACCATAGAAATGTTCCTAGAAGATACTGGTTCGATAGTACGCTCAAAACGAAGAAACGGGCATGACCCGCTATGCGGTAATGGAACATTTCAAACTCAAGTGAAATCAATGAAGCAAAGCAGAGTCCTGCTGTATTTCAGATTCTCACTCCAACAGTGGATTTATACATCAATCAAAGAACATATGAAATTTGTTGACCGCATGGTCCTCATCCCATCTGGACGAGCATTTTCTTTCGCTGATGGAGACCTGAGTGGAACGTGACAGAATGGCACGCCGCAGGCAGGCCTCAAAAGATCTTGAGGCTCCGGATGGACGCCGGCAGCGCCCAACCGCCGCTCCCTTCCTCCCGCGCGCCACGGCCACACTCCCCGCCGGCCCTCCTCGCCGCGGCCGCTCCCGCCGCGGCGCGTGCACTGGCGGCGCAGTCGTGGTCGGCCGGGAACCTGTGCTTGAGGCACACCTTCCGGCCGCAGCCCTTGCAGTGCTGGGTGTTGGAGAACGTGAGCTGCTCCTTGCACCGCTGCGCGGGGCACCGGGGCTTGCGCTTCTTGGCCGGGTCGCAGCGCCGCGACAGCGCGTGCGCCGCCAGGATCTCCCGCTCGTCCTGCCCCGGGACAAGCCTCTCGATGGCGTCGCCGCAGTCCGGGCACACGACGACGGTGCGGCCCTGGTCCGCCGCCTTGGCGCACCTGTGGTCCCGGTAGGTCCGGTGCGCGGCGCAGAAGACCTTGCCGCAGCCGTCGCAGTCGAAGGGCAGGAAGTCGAGCTGGTTGCAGTCGGGCTCGTCGCAGTGCGCGCCCAGGTCCGGGAACGCCTCCGTGCCCCGCCGCGCCATCGATCGCAGGTCGCCGCCCCCTCTCTCTCTCCTCCTTGCCCTCGATCGGCCGGCAGATATTGAATTGAACAAGTGTGAATCGGATCGCTGGTTTCTTGCTGCGTCCGCAATTGATTGCGTGATGAGCCAGCGAGCGGCGAGGGGACGGGCATAGATTTATACGTTGGGCTGGCCGGCTGACGGTGTCGCTGTTGCCGACGCGGAAACGGAACCGTTTTGCCTTTCTTTCTTTCGCGGCAAGAAGAAGGCGGGTTCCGAGTCCGGAACTCCGGACAGGTCATTGCGCGCGTTGTTTTGCCTTGTGCGGGCGACTCTCCTTCTGGATTGGCCGGGTCTCCTCTGGAGGCGGCTTTTCTTAGCCGGGGCGGTTTCGTTTGATTTGTTTTTTATTCGCGAGGCGAGCGTTCGCGTCGGCCGTGACGTGGCGGCCGGGAGGATGGAGGTAGACTTGATCGTCTTGGTGGGTCATTGTGTCAGCGTCCCAGGCTATTCCACACTCCTTTACCTAATCTCGGTGGAAAAACGACGCCAACACCCTCGCCAACCCCAATCTCTAGATTGCCGAGCATGCTATCCCCTAAATTTTTTATAATTTGGTCTTTTTTTTAGAAAATTTAAGTTTAACCCCTGGGAGATTTAAAATCATCTTTGGACCTCGGGGGTCGACGCTAGGACTCATGGCGCCGAGGTAACACGTCTCGGCGCCACAGATCTTGGTGCCGAGGTGTCTGGCCATACACAGCAGGGCATCCAAGGTGGCGTTCACGTGGTCGGTACCTCGGCGCCACAGATCTTGGCGCCGAGGTCAGCGCCACAGATCTTGGCGCCGAGCTCGGCGCCATGTATTCTGGCGCCGAGCATCGATTCAAGTCTGTGGCCGCCGTAGCTCTCTTTTTCCCCCTCTCTCGCGCCCTATCTCTCCTCTCCCTCTCACCGCCGCCGTCGTCCAGGCCCACCGTCGCCCGCGCCTACTCCGCCGACTGCCACCCTTTCTAGTGCTGCCGGTCGCCTCCCTCACTCCCCCATCCGTTCCCTCACCCGCCCTCGTCGCCCCAGACCTCCTTCCACGCGCACCGGCGGCGAGGGCGGCCCCTGCCCCTCCCCTGCGTCACCACTGGCTGGCGGGCCACCGGTGTCCGAGTTAGGCGGCTACCCCACCCATCTGAAAGGACTTAATGGCTAGAGGGGGGTGAATAGCCTATTAAAAATTTCTACAACAACACTTAGCAAACCGGTTAGACAATTATAAGGCGAAGCAAGTGTTGCGCTAGCCTACTAAAATTGCAAGCCATCTACCACAATTCTAGTTTATATAGTTTCTATCCACACAATAGCTATGTCTCTACACTAAGTTAGTGCGCTCTCAAATGCTAACTAAAGAGCCACACTAACCAAACTAACAAGCTCTCACAACTAGCTACACTAAAGAGCTTGACAACTAGTTTACGATAATATAAAGAGAGTGAGCAAGATGGTTATACCGCCGAGTCGAGGAGTGAACCAATCAATCACAAGAATCAATATCAATGAAGACCAATCACCCGGAATCAAATGATGACACAAAGATTTTTTACCGAGGTTCACTTGCTTGCCGGCAAGCTAGTCCTCGTTGTGGCGATTCACTCACTTGGAGGTTCACGCGCTAATTGGCATAACACGCCAAACCCTCAATAGGGTGCCGCTCAACCAACACAAGATGAGGATCACAAAAAAAACGAGCAATCCACTAGAGTACCTTTTGGCTCTCCGTCGGAGAAAGGTCAAGAACCCCTCACAATCACCAAGATCGGAGCCGGAGACAATCACCAACCTCCGCTCGACAATCCTCGTTGCTCCAAGCCGTCTAGGTGGCGGCAACCACCAAGAGTAACAAGCGAATCCCGCAGCGAAACACGAACACCAAGTGCCTCTAGATGCAAACACTCAAACAATGCACTTGGATTCTCTCCCAATCTCACAAAGATATTGAATCTATGATGGAGATGAGTGGGAGGGCTTTGGCTAAGCTCACAAGGTTGCTATGTCAATGCAAATGGCCAAGAGAGTGAGCTAGAGCCGGCCATAGGGCATAAATAGAAGCCCCCATGAAATAGAGCCGTTGTACCCCTTCACTGGGCACAACTCGGGGTGACCGGACGCTCCGGTCAGATCGACCGGACGCAGGACCCTAGCGTCCGGTCGTGCGATGCACGCCGCGTGTCCCGTCTCTTCAAATACTGAGCGCTCGATCCCAACGGTCAAGTGAAGACCGGACGCGTTGCTGCGAAGTGATCGGACGCTGGACCTCAGCGTCCGGTCGTTTCTAGTAAGCATCCAGAAATGAAAAATCACTACCGGACACGTCCGGTCATGCTCGACCGGACACACCCAGCGTTCGGTCACTCGGCTTCTCCTCTGTGCACTGCCTCGTCAGCAGGACCGGACGCACCCTGTCAGCGTCCGGTCACTAAGTGACCCAGCGTCCGGTCGAAGACCGACACCAGTGTCTTCACACTACCACTAACCGGACGCACCGGTCCTACCGAGACCAGCGTCCGATCACTTACAGTGACCTCCGTCTTTTCTGTATTGGGCACCGGTGAAGTTCCTAACCCTTGCTCAAATGTGCCAACCACCAAGTGTATCACCTTGTGCACATGTGTTAGCGTATTTTCACAAACATTTTCAAGGGTGTTAGCACTCCACTAGATCCTAAATGCATATGCAATGAGTTAGAGCATCTAGTGGCACTTTGATGACCGCATTTTGATACGAGTTACACCCCTCTTAATAGTACGACTATCGATCTAAATGTGATCACACTCACTAAGTGTCTTGATCACCAAAACAAAATGGCTCCTACCATTTATACCTTTGTCTTGAGCCTTTTATTTTTCTCTTTCTTCTTTTCAAGTCCAAGCACTTGATCATCGCCATGGCATCACCATCATCATGTCATGATCTTTATTTGCTTCACCACTTGAAATGTGCTACCTATCTCATGATCACTTGATAAACTAGGTTAGCACTTAGGGTTTCATCAATTCACCAAAACCAAACTAGAGCTTTCAATTTCTCTCTTTTTGGTAATTGATGACAACCCTTTCACAAAGATATGAATTGAAATTCAATTGAATCCATGTTGCTTGCCCAAGCATATTTTCCATGTGCAAAAGGATATGGACAAGTTTCATGAACCCCGTATGGTAGCAATTGCTCCCCCTACATATGTGCTAAGAGTTTGGATTGTAGCTTGCACATATGCTTAGATAGGAAATATATGAGACAATGTCTACCAAATGATGCTAAGGTATAAAAGATGAACCTTTAAAGCGTGATACCAATCGGAGTGCACCAATATACCATCTTTAGCACCATTGTTAGCTCGATACCACATGGAAATGAAATCACTAGATAACCTATGCATGCTAGTTTTTCATTCCATCATTCAAACCTACAACTAGCATACACCACATAAGCATGGATATTGAAATTTAAAACTTGTGCCATGCAAGCAAGCATATGAAATGCACATTCAAATGCACCATACAAGTTCATGAGCTTGCTCCCCCTACTTGTGTGCTCAAAATTTTAATTGATCCCTTTCCTTTATCATATCTCTCCCCCTATATCAAGTTCCCCCCCTTTGTTGTCTTTTTATTATCTTAGTACACTAATATTCTTTGTTTTTCTCCCCATGTACTAATATCACTAATATCTTTGTTTTTCTCTCCCTTTGTCATCAATGACCACAAAGGTTTAAAATATAGATATGTTGAGATTATCAATGTCAATCAATGGGGTGAGGATCATTTTCCCAAATTTGGTCCAATCTAGATCATTTGTCAAAGATATTTAACTCGGTTTGATCCAAGGACAAGCTTTTTCACACCTCCAAATAAGGGTTATCTTGTACCATGTTGAGTTAAACACTTAGAGCTCATTTTCTAGATCAAACACTAGGTTTACAAGCCCACAAACATGTCATATGCTACCACTAGATCAAGTCAAGTATAGAAGCAACAGTGGTACCATACAAACATCAAATTCATTTGATTTTCATGAATGAGCCTATTTAATGTGAGAAATGACTAGATGCACTAAACATGTCCTTAGTAAGGATGTGTGCCATGCCGATCAACTTTTACCTTGAATTGCTCGAAGGAGAGGCATGTCATATAAGTGGGGGGGGGTGCATCAACACATATTTGGGAAATCCAATATGTTCAACTCATTCCTTAGCTTGCAAAATCTTTTCTCATCCAATGGCTTGGTGAATATATCGGTAGGTTGATCTTCGGTGCCTACACTCTCAATGCAAATGTCCCCTTTTTGTTGGTGATCTCTTATGAAATGGTGGCGGACATCAATGTGCTTTGTTCTTGCATGTTGAATCGGATTGTTGGTTAACTCGATTGTACTCTCATTGTCACATAGTAATGGCACTTTCTTGAACTTGATTCCAAAGTCATTCAAGGTGGCCTTCATCCAAAGTATTTGTGCACAACAACTACCGGCGGATATGTATTCGGCTTCGGCGGTTGATAATGCAACACTATTTTGCTTCTTTAATGACCATGAAACAAGTGATCTTCCCAACAATTGACATGTGCCCGAGGTGCTCTTCCTTTCAATCTTGCATCCCGCATAATCCGAGTCGGAGTAACCAACTAGCTCAAACTTTGCTCCTTTGGGATATCACAAACCAACATTTGGTGTATGCTTCAAGTACCTCAATATTCTCTTTGTAGCCTTCAAATGACTTTCTCTTGGTGAGGCTTGAAATCTTGCACACATGCATACACTAAACATGACATCCGGCCTTGATGCAGTCACATAGAGTAGGCTTCCAATCATAGACCGATACAATTTTTGATCCACTATATTGTCACTTGCATCACTATCCAAGTTGCCATTTGTTCCCATTGGTGTGCTAATAGCTTTGCTATCACTCATGCCAAACTTCTTGATCATGTCCTTGATATACTTGCCTTGACTCACAAATGTACCATTCTTCAATT